ACGGAAATGTGGAGTAATGTCATCTTTAGCGATGAATCGAAATTTGATATATGCGTTGGGGATTTTCGAAAAAGGGTAATTCGTACAAAATCCGAAGCTTTTCATAAAGAGCGTAAAATTTCTCAAGGGGGTTGTAATATGGGAATGTATGAGTAGTAAAGGGGTTGGTAAATATGAGTTCATTGATAATACTGTAAATACAGAAAATTATCAACAAATTTTATTAAGAAGCTTAATTACAACAACAGAACAATATTTTGGAAATGATAGTTTTATCTTTCAACAAGACGGTGCATCTTGCCATACGGCGAAAACAACAAAAAAGTGAATTGGTGACTGTAATGTATTAAATAAACTGTATTATTATATATGGACATCACCCTATACAATTAATTTCTATTCTGGTATCTTGTACTGTTTTTTACTGTATGGCGATAACGCCGGCTTCAATGTGGAATCACGGAATAAAGGCACTTTCAATTCAGCATTCAATTGAGTTTTATTATAATTAAGAAGTACGGGAAAAATAATAAAATAATTGTAGTTCTTAAGGAAACTAGGGATATTACACTGGCGCAGTCAGTAATAAGAAGTTTAAATTAAATTAAATTAACCAAGTGAGGTGATAAATTAAATAACAATTTAATTAAAAGTGGTAAAAATGTCAGGGGGCAAATTGGAACCCTTTAAATTAGGCGAAGGTAATTGGACTTCGTATGCGACACGCATAGAACAATACTTCAAAGTTAATAAAATTGAAGAAAATACAGCAGTGTTAATAACTGCAGTGGGAGATGAAACTTTTGAGCTCATGGAAAGTCTATGCAGTCCGCAAAACCCGCAAGATCAGACATTTGCCAATCTGACCAAAGTTGTAAGGGAGCATTTACAACCAATACCGTCAGAAATCGCCGAACGTTACAAATTTAGACAGAGAAAGCAAGAAGAAGGCGAGAAAATCTCTACCTACGTGGCAGCATTAAAACAACTTTCCAAACACTGCAAATTTGGACAATCCCTGGAAACCCAGCTCAGGGATCAGTTAGTTTTCGGATTAAAAAATGAAATTATCCGGCAACGATTGTTTCAAGAAAAAACATTATCATACATTCATGCTTTGGAGATAGCAGTTAACATGGAATCAGCAGAAATAAATTCCGATCTAATTGGAGAATCAAACAAAATAAATTTGGTAAGGAAGTCACACCATAAATTCCAGTCGCGTTGGCAGGCGCTATCTTGTTCAAATAGCAACAATGGAAACCAGCGGTGCCCCCATTGTGGAAAGTCTAATCATCGATCAGCAGTCTGTTTCTTCAAAGATGCTTCGTGCAACACCTGTGGGAAGAAAGGACACACCAGCACCGTATGTAAGGAAAAAAGTGGTAAACATTTTTTTAAATAAAAATTTTCAGTATAATAAATTTGCAGCAACTGAAAATAATTTTTCAGATACTGATTCTGAAACTAGTTATTTTAATAATATTTATTACATTGCCTAATGAAAAACCCATAAAAATTGATATTTATGTAAATAATAAATTAATATCTATGGAATGCGATACTGGTTCGCCAATTGCAGCTATATCCGATAAATTTTATTTAAAAAATTTTTGTAACATACCATTAAATAAATCAAATTTAAATTTAAAAACTTATGCAGGGGATATATTAAATATATTAGGGTTTATTTATGTCACAGCTGTATATAATAACATAGCAGCAGAATTAAAACTGTTTATTATTAAAAATGGTGGACCTCCAATATTAGGACGAAAATGGATAAATAAATTAAATATTTCGCTAGATAAATTTTTAAAAATAAATCATTTAAGTGGTACAGATATAGAAAATGTTCCTAAAATGTTACAAAATAAATTTCCACAAGTATTTTCGGAAGGTTTGGGCAAATTAATAAAGGCAAAGGTCAACTGTTTTTAAAAGAAAATGCAACTCCTATTTTTTGTAGAGCCCGTAATATAAAAGTTTCATCGAGGCCTTTGAGTAGTCCCGACTTGAATGTCATTGAAATATTATGGCATCAGATGAAGAAGTCTTTGCGTAACGATCCTCAGCGTACCGTTCCCGCACAAATTTGGAACTATTTCACCCCCAAATATTGTAAGACTTCAGTAGATTTCATGCCACGACGCATTCAAACCGTTATTACCGCAAAAGGTGATGGTGACGTATTAAAGTTCGATTTAAGCTATAAAATTCAAGTTTGTCCGAATATTTATTTGTCGGCAATTTGATCAAATTTCGTTACTTTGTTATGTTGTTTATACAAAATAAAAAAGTATTTCCTTACGATCAGTTTTTTTGTAAGTAAAGAGTACCTATGTGACTTGATTTTTCACTCAGGAAAATCGACAAATCGTTTAAAATAAATATCAATATATTTTTTTAATTTTCTTACATCGTCCGAACATATACTTGTTAGGGCTCGTAGATATAATAGCCATTCTTCGCTAAAATCATTTCCGTTAAAATAATATTTACCAGTTTATTTTTTTTTTATTTTGGTCTGATAGGGAAACAGAAATTACTTAATTTCATTTTTCTACAATCACTATCCAAAGTAGGCTTTTGCTCATTCAAATCTCACTAGAAAGTTGACATTTTCCGCGAATTGTCATAATTTGACATTATTGGCGCACACGTGCGCCAAAGTAACTTTGCCACACACGCTTGTCTATTTTCATTTGAATAAAAGAAAAGAAAGCTAATCGGTATTTTAAAACAAAATATAGGCTAATCCAAAATATTTTAAATCATCCAACAGTATTTTCCGTAAATAATTAAATCATAAATAATTACCAACATATAAGTACTAAAACATTTTTTTCTCTTCGAAGAGTAGACATATCAAAAATAAACTTACAATATTATAACGAAAGAAGGTGACCCATTTCTAATTAAATTAAATTAATTATTTTATTTTGGAGTAATTCGAGCAGAAAGTCCTTTGGCAGTTTCAAAAAATTTCTGTCTCGACTACTAAAGTGCTAATTTCTGCTTGTAATACACAAATACCTATTAATACCCACAAACTGTTCCCTTATATTTTGACCCTTTTCAAACCTGTATAAGTTTTAAATTAGTTAAGATAATGAAAGGCAGATTTTACCATTCTTATTCTGAATATGGTGGTATGTATTTTTGCTAAGTTTCGGTTTAACCGGAAATGCCGTAGACTCTGTAATGTTAAGTAGAAGAATAGATGGCAAAAAAAAGAACGTTCTCAATTTGTCGGAATATTTTTTACCAAGTTGCCCGATTTCAATAATTATTTTTGATAGGAAGGGGGTACCTCAAGTGTAAGCCCATGAAAATTTGCTCAAGATCTGATGAGAAAAGTAGCTAACTCAATTTGTAATGGCATCTGCACGATTTTAAAGTCGATTTTTATTTAAATTACTTTTACAACTTTTAAATAACATACGCCTGCAAAAAAAACAGTTAAACAATTCAGTGCAATTTTTTAGTTTCAGTCCTGTGTAAATAATAATCTCTTCTTTCCCCTTTTTCAAAATGTAAAAAAATAACTTATTAGGTGTTTTACAATAAATGGGTATCACCTTGAGAGCAATCATTGAACTTATTATTTCTGTATATTTTTCTTTGTTTTCCACGGTCCATTTTTATTTCATATAAACAGTTAATGTACCTAAGGAAATAAAGCAAATATTTTAAATCCTAAATTTTTAGGCTAAAGTAAGTGAAAAAAATTGCATACTAGTGAAAACCTCATTTCATTTTCTAAACTAATTTAAAAGTATGTATTTTTGATAGTGAAAAGCTTCAATCTACCTTTCCCGTTATTCGACAATTTCGCATTACTTGTGCGCCAAAACAGCGCGAGACTTTTGAATCTAGACATTTTCTATTGGCTATCTTTCTTATCCTCGCATTACAACTGTTGAGTTGGCTACGAAGATTACCCCATGTTATGGTTACTTTCAGTGGCGGCTCGTGGGGTGGTTCACAGTGACAGAATATAGGTATCAGTACAGATGTTTGAAAAAATTTTCAGTATTTTAGAAAGTTTATAATATACCTTTCTAAAAAAACACTGATAGTTTTTTTCCTATATATGTACCGGGATCTATATTCTGCTACTGTGAACCCCCAAAATTTTGGCCACGAGCCGCCCCTGGTTACTTTAAACAAAACCGTCATCGGATCTATATTATAGTAGCGAACCCAGTGACATTTTTGGTACACATTTGCATAAAGCTAAATTATAAATGAATCGTTAATTCTTACCCTTTAGAAGATAAAAATACTTTGCTGCAGGCGCACCAACGGTGAGTGCTCGATGATGAAGTCTTTAAAAAAGCCGACGTAAAAAATGTTAATAGAAAAAAGTATGCTGCCGTCTTGGTGGTGGTGGTGGTGGTGGTAGTGGAACACCTTTAAGTTTGGAAAATGAAATTGTGACAATAAAATGTTGTATACATGCAAGGCTTACTTTTTTAATGTGATAGAATATTAATGAAAATAGTTTGCTGCAATCGATCTAGCAGTAAAATGCCTCATCAGCAAGCAAGAAGATACCTACCTACTTTGAATTGAATTTCAAGAAGGTGGCAGCAAACTTTTTTCTATTAACTTTTAATGAAAATATCTAAAAGTTTGAAGCGTGTGCTTCTGTGATAGCGTTTTCTACACAGGTTTTTCTAAGACGTCGACGGCTTCAGCAAAGTATTTCCATGTTCTACGAGGTAAGAATGAATGAAATATTTGTAATTTTGCCTTTCGCAAATAACACACCTAAAAGTGACAATGGCTTCCTTACCAATACTATCAAACGCAAAAACAAAATGACATTTGCGGACGTGTAATTGGAACATTCAATACATGATCGAATATTGGAACTCAGAGTAGGAAAGATAACAAAGGAAGTAGGATTTGCGCATAAGCAATAGAGATCATCAATAACGGGATAAGGTATATTAGTGTATAAAATATAACGTATACATTTAAAAAAATTCTAGAATGATACAGGAAGTACTTCGAATGTATCAGTAGTTTTTTACCGTGCAGAATCTACTTTCAAAACTGGAAAAAGTAAGCGGAAGAAAAAAATCATATGGTGCCAAAAGCGATCATTTATTACAGGAAACAATATTAAAAAGTAAGTGTATTAAAATGCAGTATAAAGTACACATTCTTTAAAAATACTCTTATCTCAGGTGATATGCTAAAACAAGAAAATTAATAAACATAGAGTGAAGTACAGTGAAATTGAGTAAAGTAGAGTGGGGTAGAGTGTAGTAGGGTGGAGTAGAGCGAAGTAGAGTGAAGAAGAGTGGAGTAGAATCGAGTATTGTAGAGTGGAGTAGATTAGAGTAGAGTAGAGTGTTTTACTTCTCTCACATGTACGGCGGCGCACGCGAATTTTTATTAAGAAAAATAATATTTTTATGTGTTCCTTGAGCCTTAATATATTTTGAGATTTTCAACGTTCTAGCACACGATATTGTACTTTTGATTAACGTGTTCTTGTTATATCCATTGATATAATAATAATAATAATAACTCTCCCTAATTCACCCCCTTACGAGTGAATTTCAATCCCTGAAGTCGACTAAACGACTTGTGTAGGGGAATGATATAACCCAGTGCCATTAATTTTGCGTTAAAAAAATAGTTATTGAAAAAAAAAATATTGAATTTTCGATTGAACGACTTGTAGCGTATTGCTTGAGGAATCCATTGATGTATGATTTAACCCGGCGCCGATAATTTTAAGAAATAAAACATATTTTTATGTGAAGTGTCTTTCGAGCCTAATTTTTTTTTGTAATTTTCATTCTAGCACTCGATATTGTACTTTTGGTTAACATATTCTTATAGCATGTTGCTTAAGGAATCCACCCAGACAACACACTAAATCCCAGAGATATCCACAGAATATCTTTTGTGGATATTAAATATATCCACAGGATATCAGAAAGATCCCGTGGATCTAATATCGATATCCAAATGTCCGTCTATATCTAGAATATAGAAGATATCCTATGAATATCCAGCAAAATATCTAATGGGAATCTCCCAGACAATACAAGAAATCCCAGAGATATCCACAGAATATATCCAATATATCCAGTGAATCTAATATGGATATCCAAATGTCCGTCTATATACTAGGATATAGAACATATTCGGATTTTCAGCAAAATATTTTATGGGTATCTTTAGTAGAGGTTCATAAGTAACCAATGATTATTTTCAACACTCTGCCTTTGATTTTGCCCACTAAGGAGAAAGTCATCCTTATTAGGACTCTTCAGCAATAAATGGAAATTCTCGACTTCAGTCTCTAATGGAGTCTGATTGCAATACCAATTTCGATCGAACTCAATTACGGCGTGTTGAGCATGAGTAGATAGATATTCAACGAGCGAAAGTGGTATCGCCATCTATACTTAGTAAGCAAAATCAAAGGTCGCTGTAGTACCTAGTTCAAAGACTAGGTGGAATAAAAGCCAGGTGGGCTATTCTTAAAAAAGGAAATAATTCTAGTCCTAATAAGGACGAAACCGGTCCAAGAATGACTTTCTTCTTAGTGGGCAAAATCAAAAATTACATCTAGTGGATATCCACCATGGTTTGCGTTCACGCCTAGACTTTGATATAAAATATCACATCACTCTCAAGTTTTAGAAAAGTAGTCAAAAACCTTTTATTTAACGGAGATATCACTTACAATTTTTAATTTATATGTTAATTAAATTTAGTTTAACAATAATATTTCATGTTATTTCTATTTTTTTCTTATTGAAAGCTAGAATTTCACTTTTTTTTTATAGAAAATCTGTATGCATTACTTAATTATTTATATTTTTCTGGGTTGCGTGGAAGAGCGCTGCTTATTTGCTGGCTCAATCTTTGAGCTCGCCAGTAAGTGCGAACGTCGCCTTTTGTCTTTCAGTATTTTTTTATGTATATTTATATAATTTTGTATAATAATTTGTATGTATTGAAAGCAATAAAGTCATTATTATTATTATTATTATTATTTAGTAGATGTCCATGGGATATTGAAATACACCTTAAAAAAAAATTAATTTTAAATATCTGAACGGTACTATTAGCCACAATGGCGAGCACAATGGCGTATTTTTTTAATAATTTGGTATATACTTACTATTATTTATGGACATTTGCATGTCTATAAATTACATCTCATGGATATAAAATAGATATCCACCATGGACTGGACATTCAGTGGATATTGGGATGTCCAGTAGATATCCAAAGGATTTGGTGTGCTGTCTGGGTGGCTGCTAGTTTCAGCTTCATAACTTTGAACTCTGCCCACGAATATACGGTACTTTTTGGTATAAACATTAACTGGTTACAATCGGCTTATTTTGACCTCTACAATACATGGTAACTGTATGTCCCAGCAATTTTGGGACACTATATAAAACACTAGAAATGCAATTTGTTTTAAATTTTCCGCGAACAATGCTCCTAGCATAAACTTAATTTTCTCTCTCTTTCGAATGTTCACCACAAATTATATGTCACTCTCTAAATATATCTTTAACATTTTTTTTTTTTAATAGGTGATGATCTATTTTCTGGCAGAACAGTTATTAGTCCTGGTGAAATACTGAAGTATGAAATAACTTTTAATCCTCAAAGTTTGGGAGTGTTCAGTCATAAATACCGGTTGGAGATCATAGGATATCGCCCTAGCCTATTTGTAAAATGTCAAGCTAACAGTATTTTGCCAAAACTGGATTATACACCAGAAGTGATGTTTAATAAATGTATAGATAGCGTTGTTGACAAGAGAATTGACGATAATTTTATTTACATAAAAGATGTTAAATCACTGGATTTTGGAACTATTCTTGCAGCAGGAGCCAGGTCAGATTTTTTATTATGTAAATATATTTTGAAATATGCCAAGTTATACTTTTCTTTAAAGATATAAGGGGAATACCAACGAAAAATAATAACATATCTAGTCTAATCATTTGTTAAAATGTGTAAAATATTTAACTATAGGTAACAGTATGAACCAAAATAAACAAAAGGGTAATATGGGTCCGTCAAGTAACGATTTCGCAGATATGGAAGGTTTATTCTATTTTACCTTTTTTGCAAAAATTTGCATTTTATTATCATAGTTTTGTGAAATGAATATTAAGTATTTGACCGTTGTTGTCAGCGGGCAGGTTTTAGTTTGCTATAGTTGTTTTCTTAAACGTAGAATTAATCGATATGCATGTCATGATACGTATCAAGCTTTGGATTTTTCACATTCGAAGTACCTATGCCATAATTTAGGCTTATTTTAGACTAATTTAATACATGAAAAATTTTCCGGATAATTTCTTTATGGGAAAAATTAGGTGCTCTGCTAGCTTGATATTAAACTTGTAGAGCACCTTTGGATTTTTAAAATTTTGATAACACCATAATTTTAGGCTAATTGGCAATATATATTTAGGCTAGAAACAAAATCAGGAGACAAAACTAGTTATTGCAACGATAAAGTACGATAGAGTTCAAATTTACATCATTTGTCAATAAAGAAAACGAAATAGTTTAACTATTTTAAATATCTTTATTACTTCTACACTCCATAGTACATACTTGCTTGTGTCAAAAATTGTAATTCGGTACTGACTCGGTCTTACCTCCCGGAACATTCGAATACCAGCCCTTAAATACATAATCCACACCATAGATTACTAATCCACACCTTTTAGAGTACATGCCCAGAAAGAAAAGTCTGCAGCAGGAAGCCAAGATAACAAAAATCTAAAGGTAAGACCTGATTGGCGAAGCTTTAAAATATTTCATTGAGAGCGCGACATCCCGGCATCTTAGTCATGATTTTTTTGTCTTGCAACCATCGAGGATATTGGAAATGATAATAACTTCTTTTTCATATTTTTGTTACACTTATTTCTACATATTTTGTTTTATATTTAAACAGTAAATATAATTCCAGTGTATGGTGATCATGGTTTTGACCAATCAAATTTACAAAATTTTGTTATAAGTGACAATACCACGTGTTTATTTTTTTTACCCTTCAACAGACGAAATACCACCAGATGGCACTACTGAAACGTGAGTGTTTTTTAAATTTTATGGTGTTTTGAATTATATATTTTTAACAGACTTCAAAAAAGGAGGATGTTCTCAATTCGTCGCGATTTTTTTTTTGTGTTCAGCAAAAATTCTTTAACACTGTGTCCGATTTCAATGATTCTTTTTTTGTTAGTAAGGGGGTACCTCAGGGGTGGTTCCATATAAATTTGGTTAAGATGTGGTGACGGCATCTGCACGTTTTTGAAGTAGGTTTTTTTTAATTTCTAATACTTGTAGAAAATAATGATTAAAAATACGGATCAATTAAATCAAGGGACCTAAAAGGGCTAAAAAGAAGAGGTGGTAAAATAACTGAAACAATAGAAAAAGTTATTGAAAAGTAAGTAGTAAATTTATAAGTGATGTATTTGAGCTCTTTCTAATTTCAGGCACAAATCTGTAATACCCGTCCATGGCAAAACAGCGCAGTACAAAAGAGCTCAGGACAAAATAGCACAGCACAAAATAGCGCACGACAGAATACCGCAAGGACAAAATAGCGCAGGACAAAATGGCACAAAGACAAAATAGCGCGTAATGAACAACATATGTTTTTTTTAATTAATGAAATTCACACTGTGTTGTTGTAATTCAGTTCGGGAAGTTCCAAGTACGGTTTTTTAAACCTTCTCACAAATTTCCACACTGAATTGTCGTGTATATTTACCGCTTCCAGGGTCTCTTTCCATTTGACATTCCTGACTTAGTTATTTTTTATTTATATCTCTGCCAAGTTCCAGGAGCAAGTCGCTGTCAGCGGCTTGTCTATGTTTGCCATCGTTTACGTAAATTGTTTTTGTAATTAAATCTGTGATGTCTTAAGGTTGTGTTGTTTGTGTTTAATTAATTTGGTAGCCCTGTTTCTAGCTGTCTTGATGGCATTTGTCAGTTTTAGAAATTCATTGTCTAGTGTGATGTTATCAGTAATGTTTTTGTTAATTTTTATGTTTTCGTCCAGTATAGTCCTGTAGTTGTGCCAGTTCGTAGTTTTGTAGTCAGAGAACTGACCCTGATTTTATTTCCATGTATACAGGGTCATGACGTTGTCGACGTTGGGTATGTCTTTCGTCATTGCTATGTCTAGTATGCTTGGTGTTCTTCCATTGAACGGGACGTATGTGAGATCCACCGAGCAGTGTATAATGCAGCCTTCACTCTCGGCGAATTCGTTCAAAATTCTTCCACTTGTGTTCGGAGTGATGCAATTCGCGTCCCAATGGTAGTGTTTGCAGTTGAGATACCCGAACATAAGAACTCTGTTTCCTAATGTCATAATGGCTGTTAGTTCTCTTTTATTAAAAATGTTGTTAGGTACTATTTAAATTATCAGGGCTGGTTGGAGTCTTCATTAGTGCCCTCTAGGTCTTGGATAAGATTATCCGAACTTTCGTTTGGGTCAGCTCTTAGGACGTCACTTTTCTCAAGGCTGCTATTCGATGAATCGTTCGTATTGTTACCGTCAAAGCTCTCTGAGCTTCCCTGCGGTTTTGTGCTGTCACTAAATGTACCACGGTTAGTTATCTCCGAACTTTTTCTGTCCAGCTCGTTGTCGATTTTAAAGTGTACTTAACAGCGTTCTCCGAACTTTCGTGTTCTGCGGCGGTTGTGTTGGTTTCTATCACATCAGTTTTCTCCAAACTTTCTCGGTCCGGCTAGATGTCGATTTTTGTATTGTGTCTAACAGTGTTCTCCGAACTTCCGTATTCTGCGGTTCTTGTGTTGATTTTAGACACATCAGCTTTCTTCAAACTTTCTTTTGTGAGTGAATTTTTGGTTTCTTCACTAATTTGACTGAGCGTGCGGTGCTGCTTCTCGCTCTGCTCTTTGCAGTTGGGTTCTCTGCTGGGTTGTTATTTGTCGGTTCTTTTCTCACCATTTTCCGAACTTTTTTGCGAGAAAATTTTTGACGTGGAGTCTCCTCTGGGATGGTCAGTTGATCCCAGATTAGTTTTGTTAGTAGAAATCTCTTGATTACTCACAGTTTTGTATGGGTGCTGGTGTCTGGATGTCTTCAGAGTCTTAGGGGTGCATTTGTCGGCGGTTTTGTTGAGTTTATCCGCTCACGGAGTCTTTTAGCGTATATTGTTTCGTACACAGCTTTGGATGGCCCGGAAGGCTCCGACATCTAATCCGGAACACTCCCGGGTTGAAGTTATACTCACTGGCGCAATAAAAAAGAAAAAGTTATAGATTATAAATCAGTACGTAATCGATGGAAGAGAAAAGTACACGGATGGTAGGTTGCTTATATACTTTAGCGAAAAATTAGCTTGGGTGTGTAAACTTACTCCTAGAAAAGTTCTAGGTAAACTGACATTCTTCTTGTTAATTTTGAATTATGTAAACCTTGCGACTGAAAAACGTTTGTATGACATCTTAAAGACGTCTTTGAGCTCTCGCATTTAATGTATGGATTTGGCCAGACGTCATTAAGACACCTTAAGAACGTCTTTAAGCTCTCACATTAATACGTCTGAATTATGGCTTTTCCAGATGTCTTACAAGACGTCTTAATAACGCCCTAGGACATTGAGACCAAACCAAGATATTTTTACTGTTATAACTTATTTCTTTCACCTGAAAAAATGGGGGATTATTAGAAAGTCCTAAATTTGGGGAATTTTTAAATTTCGACTGGGAAAATCAAACTTAACGATCTGGCAAACCTGTACGCGGAGCCTGTCGTATACGACTTGGTTGGACATTTTGTCAAAATACTTAATTTTCGGCTCCGAGAACGCTTTAAATTGAAATACGCATGCTCTTCTGTCGTGGACTTGTCGACGATGATCTCCGCGAACAAAGCTGAAAACCTAAATAACAAATAACTCAATTTCTGTCCTACTTCAAATCCCTGAATAAACGAACCCACCTCTTAAAAATAGCAACTTCCATCCCATTAAAGAAACTTAAAAACTGGTCTTCTTTCAGTGACTTTTGTTTTTTAATATTAAGAAGTGATTAAAAATGTAATACATAAATTAACGTGTTTGTAAAAAATGTTCCTAAAATTAAATTAATTAATAACAGAGGTACTTTATTAACATAATTTTTATTTTTTTGTAAACTTTAAAATAACAACACAAGTACTTAACATCATATAGGGCAACTTTGATTATAGTTATGACTATAAACTTTAATTGGCTTAATGATTTTTTCGTCTATAAAAAATGTATTATAAACAAAATAGAACTATGTATCTTTAAAATAAAAATATAAAAAAATGGAGTTGGTAAATTAGGTCTGTCTTGTTGACACATCTATATCACGATTAAAAAAAAATAAAAAATACCATAGACAACTTATTGAACCTCAATAAAAATAAAACAGTGATATTCAAAACAAATATACAGTGCGAGTATTTGAGATGGAAGCCTCAATCTAAAAAAAAAAAAATGGATGACGTCATCATGTCAGCGTCATAGCGATGATTATCCAAAATAAAAGCAAAACTAAATTGAAAATTTGATGTGTACCGGCGTTTTTTTGCCTAACATACATAATTTGAGGTTACCAACTCAAATTCACTACATTATGTAAAAATCCTTAAAAAAAATTAATTTAAAACCATTGCACTTGGAATAAAATAGAACTATAGGCTTGTTCTGGTTTCTTCAAAATGTGCTGCAAACCGTCCGCGATCCAGTGGAACAGTTGAAAAGTATGCGTCGAGTAAAACTTTTCAACTTTCCACTCGGACAGTTTTCAACATATTTCTGAGGAACCAGAACAAACCTTATATGTATCTTTAAAATAAAAATATA